GGTTTCCGCATACTGATGATTGTGTTACTTGGAAGGCTAATAGAGTCAATAAGGTATTTATACTGAGGTGAAGATGCGCACACTCTCGTTTAATAATAATAATTATTATAACATATCTTTCTTTTTTTTTTTCAAAAGGTGACTCCCAAGAAAAAATCTAGCAATTTCATCAAAGACAATCTGATTTCATATCATCTATACCAACTATCACTGTGCATATCAAAATTTATTCCAAATCTAATACCAATAATAACCAAAGGAATGTTTAAATTGAATCATTCGAAGAAAATTGAACGTGTTGATGACTCATATGAAATATTTAATTTTGATTGTCTATTCCCCCAATATGTTAATGAATGGGCTGTGCCGATCGAGTTTGCGGCTGATGCTATAAGAAAATTGGATGAATGGATTAATAATCGTCAAATCAAAGTTCATTTTCCAGTTGAGGTCAGGTTCGTCAATGAGGATGATGTTTGGTTGAGTCCTGCTTATAAAAGAAAAGTTTGCTTCATTGGAATTATCATGTATAGGTTTGTATATTTTTGAGACTATTGAATAATTTGAAAATTAGGGTTGGATATATTAAAATATTAATGAATAAAACTCTAGACCATATTATTTATCGGTTCCTTATGAGGAATATTGGGACGCGTATGAAAATATTATGAGATCTTTTGATGGCAGACCACATTGGGCAAAGGTAAACCAATAACTAACTAGCTAATTACTTAATCAAACAATTGAATTGTCAAACAAATAATTAACTAACCAAGCAAATGATTAATGTTAAAGGCACATTCAATGACACCAAAAGAACTTTATAAAACATATCCTAAACTAACTTTATTTATTGAGTTGCAAAAAAGGTTGGATCCAAATAGCATGTTTATAAATGATTATATAAAGAGACATTTATTATTACCATCGGAAGGAGAATATGATGATGATAATGAAAGTTAAATATAGAGAATGGAAGTTCTAAATTAGAAATTGAAGATGAATATTTCCATGCATTACATAAATATATGC